GTGGAAACTTGCTGGTTGAAGGTATAGGATCATCTTGAGGGAGTGAAGAGACAGCACTGGTGGGGCGTGAGGAGACAGCACTGGGGGACTTCTTGAAATAGATGTCCAATTTAGACTGCACAGTTTGCTTTTTCTTTTCATTATAAATTTCTCTGCAGCAAGCAAGTGCATCTTGGATCATTCTGTCAACTTTGGCATAATGCTCATAATTTTGATCCATGCAAATGCCTCTGCCATATGTTTCACGGAAAACTTTTTGGGGGGTGCAGGTTCTTCTTCTACATTTTGTCTCTCTTCTTCCTCTGCAAATTTCTGTGCATCTAGTTCAATAAGATCCTCGTTAGTGAGCTCTTCTGCTACACTTTCAACCAACTGTCCAACTGTCATGGTCACGTTGACTGCTAATCTATCTAACTAATGATTCTTATTAAACTCCACGACAGCAAAACATGAGTGGGTTAGCGACCCCTGAGAAGACGTGTTTTTCCCCATAGACGCTACACTTGTGTTTCCCTCCCAGAGTCCCGCCTTTGTGAAGACAGTTATCAATGCGTTGTTTATTCCACTTTCTCCTGGGAAGCTCAATCTTGAATTAGTCTGTGTAAATCAACTAATTCGCCAGACCTTTGTCAACTGAGGGTCATCTTTGAATGACTAACAGTTAGAGTTGTTTGTAATTATTGTCATTGCGTGAGTAGCGATCACTGGCAACTCAGGGATATATATACCCGTGCATCACGCAGGACGAGCGTCCCTTGACACCCGCTCCAACATTTTTCTCCAGGTATGTTTTGTGTAGTCAATCAGTTTGATTCAGTCAATTGTAGTAAATATCAATGTTCATCAGTGTTCATGCTTTAACAGTTTAATTGTCATTAACCCAGTGTAAGAAGTAATATAACGTAAATACGTCTGTCGTTTCTAGACCGAGATTTGTAGTGTTTGTGTTGTCATGCTTCCGTCTCTTGACGCCCGCTCCAACATTTTTCTCCAGATCCAATTGTGACTCTTGGATCACTCGACAACTGCCCCGGATGTAGTAGAAACCCAGCAGGGATTGTATATGAAACGATGGCATCGATGCGGCCTGATTAATCTGCTCCACTGCCTCGTAGTGCCGACCCCAGACTCGCCATGTGTCTGGCTACCACCGACCATAACAACGGTCGTGAATCTCAGTGTTCTACCCTGGGACGCACCCTGGAAGTATATGTCCACAGAGAGTTTTGTAACATGTATGTTAGGGATAATTAGTTGGAAATAATTATCCCATGTTGGGTAGTGGACCTCTGTATCTGCTATTTTCAGTATTAACGAGTATGTTGAGTAAAGTCTTGTACTTGTACTGTAATGCCACGTACCACCAGTAGGTGTGAGAAGCAACGTAATGTACAATGAGTGCCATGTACTATGTATTGTGAGTAGGGCCAAGGAACTGGTCCTACTATGTAATATTGTAACACCAGTTAGGTTGTGTGCAGTAAGAGTGTAAGATCTGAGTAATTACTGTTGAGTAAAGTAAATAAGAAAATAAGTAACTAAGAAAATAAATAAAGAAAGTACTGAGTCTGCAATAAGCCCAGGAGTTGAGCCTGGTAGTTATAAATTAATAATATATCTTTTTCCCTTTGATTTCATATTAATAAATTTGTTCTTAGAGTATTTTAGGAGTATTCATTTCTCCCACAGTATTTTACCTTTATTTCCGTCCAAGTGACTTGATACCAGAATTACCATACCCACGTGCCTGGACCATCGACCATGCTATCAAAAGAATGACCATGCTACCAAAAGAATGACCATGCTACCAAACGAATGTCCATGCTACCAAAAGAATGTCCATGCTACCAAGAATATGTGACAACTGAGTAAGAGTAAGAACTAAGACAAGAGAAGTAACTCCAGCTGTTTACCTAACTCCACTATCTTGTTACTAATATCCGAAATAACTTCATTTTCATTAAATCCTTTGAAACTGTTCACATATCTTTTCAGGCTTTTCTTCCATATTCCATTCATGCAATGTTTTGTAACCTGATCCCATGCTGCACTAATGTTCTTTATACATGACAAAATGTTGTACTCCTTCCAAAACTCTCTGAGCGTTTTCTAACCTTCAGTAGCAGCAACAGCCTGAGCGAAGGTCGTGCGTAAATAATACGCTTTAAAGGCAGCAATAGCACCTTGATCCATGGGTTGGATGATAGAGGTAGTGTTAAGTGGAATGTACACTACCTTAGCATCAGGGTGCATGTCGTCCAGGTGTGGTGGGTGTCCCGGAGCATTATCCAAAATCAGTAAAATGTTGAATGGAATCTGTTGTTGCAGACACTACTCCTTGGCTCGTGGAATGAAACAAGTCATGAACCAATCTTCAAACAGTGCTAGGGTCATCCAGGCTTTCTTATTACTGCGATAAAACACTGGCAGTGTGTGCTTGCTGACATGTTTAAAAGCCCTGGGGTTCTCTGAATGATAGATCATGAAGGGCTTTAGCTTGAAACCAGCAACATTCCCCCCAACAGAAGTGTAATTCTGTCCTTGAATGCCTTGAATCCTGGCATTGTTTTCGCCTCTTTGTGGATGTATGTCTGCTCAGGCATGCGCTTCCACAATAATCCAGTCTCATCCACATTGAATATTTGCTCAGGCAAATAATTCCCTTCCACAATCACATCATCTAACTTCTCCTTAAAAGATTCGGCAGCACCAACATCGGCACTAGCTGCCTCTCCACTCACCTTAACAAACCACCCATGACTTCCTGTAAAAGTTTGATCACATTCATCTCTGCTCCTTCAGGCTTTGGAACAGGCTTCTTGCTTTAGCCTGAATGGTTAGAAGGCTTAAGGGTACACGCTTCTGTATCTGGTCTTCTATCCATATCACCAATAATTTTTCCATATCGTGAATAGGACCTTGTCTTCTCTTTGATATTATAGTTCCCTTTATAGGTGTTGTTCCTTTCACTACATCACGAATACGTTCCTTGTCCTTCAGAATAGTGGATATAGTCGAGTGTGAGAAACCTAGGTCACGTGAGATTGTTGCTACAGTTTTTCCATTCTCATGCTGTGTTATTATCTTCATTTTCATCTCAAAAGTAATTGCCTGTCTCCTTTTCTTTGGAACACCACCAGCACTCTCACTTTTACGCTTTCCAGTCATTATAAAGTCAATTAAATACGATAATAACGAAAGTTCACAGCGTGATCAGTATAAAATATGATAGCCAAACACCAACAAAGCGCTCCACTGAGTGAGTGTACCCACGAGGCGACCCGAGACGCGCCTCCCTCTCGCCCGGGACGGAAACGTTTCGGTATAGAAAATGCGCGCGTCATTTGAAAATATTTTTGGTCACGACGGTCGCAGTCATATGTCCCGACGGACATACGGTCAGTGCAGGTCGTAAGTACCAATGGACGTAAGTCGGGGAGGTCACACATATATATATATACAGTATATATATGTATATATATATATATATATACATATATATATATATATATATATATATATATATATATATATATATATATATATATATATATATATATATATATATATATATATATATATATGCAAGTAAATCACTGTAGGTGCGCGTGATCCAAGTAAGTGCTGATAACCACAAGTAAACAAGAAAACACATGTGCCTAGAGGTTGTTTCATTGTAGTTCCTCATGTACCAAGATTAACATTGACATTATTCTGGTGGGTGTGTCTTATAAGTAAGAAAAATACTTTTAACTGTAGGAAAAATCAACGTATTCACAGATTACTTCACTCATCTTCTGTTAAATACCAAGAAATTTTAACATTTTATTCAAAAAATTATGACGGATTTGATTTCATAAATGGAGAAAAGACTGATTGCAAACTGAAAATATCATAAGGTGGACGTGATGATAAACTGTTTCACTGTCCATGCAAATACAATATTAACTTTACTTTTGCAGGGGCGGATCCAGAAGGGGGGGGAGAGTCCTGAACCCTCACTTTCACAGAAAATTCCAATACTTTTTCTTTAATGCAGTATTGTACTCAGGCATTTTTGTATAGTATAAAGTAATTACTATTGACCTCAGAATATCTCTTAATATCAAGTGCACATGGCTTCAAACTGGCCTCAAAAGACCATGATATTGGTCAGATTTAAAAAGAGTTTCTGGGGGGCTTACAGCGCCCCCTCCCCCCTTTTGAGATGCCTGGATCCGCCCCTGTTTAGGGTTAGGTCGGATATAAATTTTGCTGGTTTAGTCCGCAGAAATATACCTAAATTGTAATACAGCCCAGGAGATGAGGAAAAAGTTGCCCATGCCTGTTGTAGGCCATGATAACTAAAATACTACAATACATGAGTAATATTCTTGACAGCCAGAATCTTTGATTCCCGAACTTTCTAATACTGTATCTGGAAAATAAAAATGAAATTATGAGAGATCCCAAGAACATCTCTCCGTTCCAGGCATTCAAATGAATTTCTGACCCATTGCATCACGGGCCGAGTGCATGGGTGGGCTAGCTGCATGGAGAATTCAGAGTGTGCAAGCGTTGTGATTGGTTGTTACTATCCTGGGACTACATGGCATGCCTATGAATGGCTGATTTATCTCAGAGTATCACCCTAAACTCTAGCATTATGACACATTCATTCCCTGCTGTCGTGGTACTGTACATTATAAACTTGTTTGCTCGCTCATTGTTGTTTTCGCATACAATCTGTGTTGTGTAGTAGAAACTCGTCATGATCTTTAATACAATGAATAGTTTATTATTATTATAAAAATGCTATACCTTTGGATTGTGAAATATTTATCCTGATGGTGATACAACCGAAAATAGATGCACCAATCAGAATTCCCATTACATACAGCCTGACTTCACCAAGTATTACCAGGTAAAATTGCAAGTATAACAGTCAGGGTGGAGTCAATGCATTTTTGGCTGACTGAACAGTATATTTTGATAATCAGTGTCTCAAATAGACAATTTACCATATAAAAGAAGAGAGTAGGTATATCTTTGGCTGGGAGGGCCCTCCTAGTGACATCCATCTGCAGGACAAGGTTGAAGAGGAAGAAAATCAGACCTAGCATCAGCACGAGGCAGGAGCGGTTATCCCTGAAGGCTGTGGGGTACTTTTCCATGGCTGCTAGGTGGGACTCAAACTCTCTGCGATGACTGATCACTGCCCACCAACCAAAGTACATCACTGATACAAAATATACACAAATAACAATCAGAGATTCTCAGAGATTCAAGTGGTATATTTCCCTTAATTTATTACAACTGGATATTTTCAAAGTTATGAGCCTGATTGAAAATTAGCACTTGTTGAATTAATAGGACAGAGATGTGTACACCATACATCCCACTGCATAAAACACTAGGGAGTAGGTAGTAGGCAGCTACGAAACCAGGGCCGGATTCAGGAGTGGGCAAAGTGGGCAGCTGCCCAGGGGCCTCCACAATCTGGGGGCCTCCACATATTACATCTGACCTTGGACTTAAAGAAGCCTATACATGTATTCTTGGACAGAACCATTATTTGAGTAGAGGTTTATCTGATTAATAATGCAAAGAATCATCTCTCTGTAATAACTAATATATTCTTTTCTGTGAAGTCTCTTGAAAATTTTTGACATGTGCGGTAGTAGCTATATCAGGGCTGGTCGACTTGAAACCACATGAATGACTCCAGTCATGTCTCACTTTTGTGTGTGTGTGTTGGGAATTTGTACACTATCAATAAATATACAGTTAATTAACAATTTCTCAATGTTCTAATTTCCTCAATATAACTGCATATGGCTTCAAAATTCTCCAAAGAAATGTTCAAATTTAAAAATTTTCCCGGGGGTCTTACAGCGACCCCCGGAACTCCCAGATGTTTAGGCTCGCTTAACTCGCCACCCTACCCTCTTGGGTAGTTATAATGAGGGGGTCCTCCACAAAGAGGCTGCCCCTGGGCCTCCACAGGTCTAAATCCGGCACTGTACGAAACAGGGAGGTACTAACGCCTGGGAAGATATTGGAAGCATAATGTGTTGTCTAATGGTAGACCCTGCTGCCATGTGGCATCACAAAAATTTTGACCAAGTCCCAGGTTGCTGATCTGACGATCTGCCTCGTTTACACACAATTGCAGGGTCTCAGGTGTTTCTTTTACTACTGACAACACAACATACATTTATCACTTTTGATCTTTTTTCTTTTTTTTTGGTATTTATTTATGGTATTTTATTATTATTATTATCATTATTATTTTATTTATAAATTTTAATTTTTTATTATAAATTTTATTTACAGTACTGTACTGTACTATGAATTAATATTATTAATTAAATTTTTGCCCCCCAGGCCCCAATGTGGGTCAGTGACCTGTGCCCGGGTGGGCTAATCCCCGTTAAAAAAATAACATACTGTACCTATAAGGGAGAACCATGAGGTGTAGGACAGGCTGTGGAGAATACCGGTACCTTCTGTGTCAGTGACGGGCTCTTGCTCCATGGCTGTGGCAACATAGAGCAATATTAGTATCAAGGAAGGATACCAAATACTGTACCTGTACAGAATTTACTGAAAATTTTTTGATGCTATCCACATATTCTTCTATTGTAGGAAGTTTTTTTATACACTGAGGGGGGGGGGGCAGACTCAATCATACCATAGATGGCCTTAGTCAACTAAAGACATTTTATTCTAAGAACTAACCAACTATATTTAGGTTATTCAATATAGTATAATGGGCCCAAATACCTGTACTCAAAACACCTCATAAATTACACACTCGGCGATGTTGTAGCCAACTTATGGTATTCAAACTTACAAACTATTGTATTAACAATATTATAAATCCCCCAGATTCAAATATATTTTGTGATACTGTTATAGTGTTATAGTATTGTAGAGTGAGTCTTCCTGCAGGCTATTCAGCCAATCACTTACGCTTTCAAATTGACAATGCAATGGTGTTCAACCCTAGCCACCTCCTTGTCATGGGGAACTTTAACTATTCCGACAATGACTAGAGAAATGAAACCACGCCAAATGACCTTAATAATCCTGCTAGCCTTTTTGTAAAACTCTAAGAGACAATTTTCTATTCCAAAATGTTAAAGATCCAACTCATTACAGAGGGGAGCAAACACCCAAATTGTTGGACCTCATCAGAAATAGACTGGGACTGAAAAGTGGCCCTGGACTTTCACCCAGACTGGCCCCCACAGCCAGCGAGCTGTATTTGGACAAATCCTAAGGTCAACAATAAGTACTTCATCCAATTGGTTCAAAAAGCCAAGGCCGTATCTAAGATTTATGTTGGGACGGGGTGGGAATCACAAGCTCTACAAGCCCAGAGGCAGAATGGGATAGTTTTTTTCATTTTGGAGGGTTTTGAATATGCCCTTTTATTGGACACATTGGACATTTAAGTATACTTTTTCGGAGTGAGAATTGTGAACTCTTGGAACAGTCTCCCAGAGAGTGTTGTGATGGCATCAAGTGTGAACTTTTTCAAGACCAGACTTGACCAACACTGGAGCAGATTCAGATACATTCGGGGCCAGTGCATTCCCATTACTTGCCAACAGTGTGTAACAGAGATATCACTAACCACCCAAGCAGTTAATGAACCAATCACAAGTTAAGGATATCAGCTGGCTGAGGGAATAAGATTTATTAACAGGTTTTAGCAATGCTGAAAGGGGTGAAAAAATGGAAGGATGTTTTATTTGGGAAACTGAACAACAAAACACCACAAAAATAAAAATAACACATAGGACTCAGATTTAAGTGTAGTGAATTTCATGGCTCGAGTACCAAGAGATGTTGGTAACGTTCAGAGAAAGTTCACTGACATAAGGACGTCCGTCAAGAAAAAAGCAGCCCAAGGACTTTATTTACCCTTCTTACCTATTTTCCACAAACAAAACAAAACTATTACTGTAGAACGTCAATTTAATGTGAGATAGCGTTCCAAGAGAGGTCGCTTTAAACCAAATTCGCACTACATACAAGTGTTGCTTCAATGGAATAATTTAGTTTGGTACTTGAGAGAAACACAAAATACTAAAAAAACTGACAGTCTACCCAGATGCACCTCAGTCCATCTCTAGAATAAACAAAACATTGTTTTTTGTAGTATTATGTTAAAACAAACAATCATAAATCAACACAGCTAAAATTAAGGAATGCAAAATGGTCTGTTTACTGGCTGGGAAGATTGGGGGAGGGAGGGAGGTGAGGTGATATGTTTGACAGTTGATGCCAAGGTCTAGTGCTTATTTATTTATCTGTCCTTAAGAGTGACTAATTTTTTCTCTTATAAAATGTCACTGAACTGACCTGGGAGAATATAATTAACATTGCTGAAATTCTGATAAGATAGTGATTAATTTGAATATAAACATGATATAGCTTGCATTAGACATACAAAGAACAAAAATATTTATCTCTCATGCAAAATATATGACGTTTATATTCAAATTATTCGTTGTCTTGCAAGGATTCTAGCAATGCAAATTATATTATCCTAACTTTAGTTTGTGACATTATATAAGATAAAAACTGTAAGCCTAAAACCCTGGCTGGGCAGATGGGGGGAGGGAGGAAGGGGAGGTGACAGTGACATGTTTGACAGTTGCGCCGAAGGTCTAGTGAAGTATTTATTTGTTTATTTATGTCCTTTAGAATGAGTTTTTGTATATTGTTTATAAAATGTTACAGAAGTGACCGGGAAGAATATAATTTACATTGCTGAAAATAAGATAGTGATTAATTTGAATATAGTCATGCTATAGTTTGCACTAGACAAAAATTTTAATAATTTAGTACAGTATTTTGAGTACATGTACAGTACAGCTTTGCCCTTAGGACAGTGTAGCGTGCCCAGAGAAACATTAGGTTCGAATTTTTATATATGACGCGCCAGATTGACTCGCGCAAAATAGGAAAGATTCGCTTTAAATTGAAACATTGTCTTTAACTGTGGGTGTCACTTTAAATCAATAATCTTAAATCGATTCGCATTAAATCGACGTTCTACTGTACTGTATATTTAAAAAAAAGATTACAACTGAAATTAAAATAAAAAGTTTATTTACAACTTGCAATAAAAAATTTCATATTCGCTACTTAACAAGTCAAGAAACTAGCAGCACAGTTTATAATAAAAAATATAATGAAAAGTACAAATAATAACAACAATTGGGTGTGAGTCGATACAGCCTATGAGACCTCTTCGTTATCCGCCCTAAAAAGGTGTCTAATTCCTCGCAATTTCACAGAGGAAATATGTACAACCTCAGCTATTGTTCATCACTTATATTAAGAGGGTCCAAAAGGTCTCAGTACCTCCTTTCACATCACAGAGCTCTATCTTTCAAAAACACCTGAAATGTACATCGATCAGCTCCATCTTCTGCTGAAGAAAAAACACAGCTGCAGTTTATAATATGATTTGTAACTGATTAGATTTTATCTTTTAATATTATTTTCCATTGAAATATTATACGAAACCTATTTTCTGCATTATTCTATGATATCCAAGCAACAGCTTTAATAAGGTTGATCATTACTTGGAAGGTACAACATGCCCTTCAAATTCCCTTTATGTGTTTGCCCTTAGAACAATTATTTTTTTTACCTGTATTGTATATATGCATGTGTGTGTGTGTAGACACACACACACACACACACACACACAAAACACATACAAATAAATAATAAAGGGACAATCCTCTCACAAATAATCAAAAACAAATATATTAAAAGTGTGAGTCTATCCTCAAGTCAACTACGTGCTTTATAATAACAAAGCACGGAGTGGACTTGAGGATAGACTGTCACATTTTTAAAACATTTGTTTCTGATTGTACAGCATATATACAATACAGGTAAAGGAAATTACTGTCTCTAGAATGAATGGCTCCCTGTCCTGGCCACAAAAATGCCAGTAACTTTAAAACTATCCTATGACATTCTTGAGCACAACCAGGGTGTCATCCGCGAGAAATCACAGTTCGCGAATTTTAAGGGCATGCTGTATATACTATTTATGCAATCTGTAAATATAATATGCTATGTCTAGGTCAATACCTTTACAGGAGCTCCAAAGGTCCTGTAAAGTTACAGCCTGTTATCACCGCTGGCTTCAGCTACCCAGTGCCGTACCTTGTGACCTGATGTAGGAGGGGAGATGAGAGAGCTGAGGGGATGTTTACAGCCACGCGATCCTGGTTTTTGCTGAATATACAGTTCGGCAGGTGGCGTGACTGTCTGGCCTTTCTGACGCGCAGATCGCCCTCTACAGCCATACCGTGAGCACCCACCAACTCACAATCCTGTCCCTGAGTTTGTGCTAAGACAATTTACACAGTACTGTTGTCTCTTGGAACACCATACTGATTTACATTGACTCGCACTTCTAAGTATACAACCTATGTGATGACGTACCTCTCAGTACTGAAATATTGTGGATCAATTATGCCTACTCGTTTCTGTCTTAACTGGAGCAATAAGACAATGTGGAATGAAGCACAACTAAGATTAATAGAAGTATGAACTTTGTATTAAGTCACAAATGAACACCTTGTTCTCTGCAGGTTTTGACCACATCAATAAATAGTGAGTGCGTCAAAAGGCGGATTTCAATCATTCCCTTCGACATGCTCATCACCCGACCATCCTTAACTAAAGCGGCTTTACAGCCTGTTACAACATATGCCATCAGAAGATGGCGGATATTTTGTTTTGAGCATCACTACAGAGAGATTTTACAAGATCGAGGATTGACTTAAAGAATGAACTGAGAGATAAAATATTGTATGTACTTTTGAGTATCCAGCCCCAGTATTGTATTTATAGTACCAAGGTTACATCTGGTATCATCTTTTATGCTATTCACTACAATCTTTTAGGTAAAAAGATGGAATTTTTTATAATAACTTAAAGCCCTACAGCACAGCCAATGTAAATGACATGAAGAAGCAAGCCACAGGTGCATACGTGCCGTGGGTGTCAACAAAGGCTGTAGGAGACTGCTCCTTAAAAGTCGTATTTCTGACGAATTAAAAAAGTCTACTAATCCCAGTCTGTGCAGAGAACTATAGTAAGACTTAGTTATCAGCACAGTGGCATCTATTTTTTTAAAACTTTTGGATTTTGTCAATTTTGTTTGATAAAAACATCTGGTCCTACCACCCGGTCCCTCTGGTCGAAGATTTTCAAGTTTGCGTATGAGCAATGTGAGGTGTGACGGAGCAGTGACGTCTTTACCACTCCACCTGACTGCTAAACCAATCCTATGATATAAATAAATACTACAGTGCTATCTCTACTCTCTCAGCAAGGCACACGTCGATAATGACTATGCTTATTTATTTATCCAGCTGTATTCTAAATAAAATACCAAATTGGAACCCATTAAGTTGCTAGTTATATATTAAGCCAAAGTAATTTCAAGATAATAGAAGTAAAGGTTTCCAGCAATATTGTTAGTTACACAAATTATAATGCATCATGACAGTAACAGCTGAAATTTTCTAACAACAGGTATGACCGTGAGCATATTTACGAGGAGGCTCTTGGCGGATGCAGCACCTGTCATGTGTAGGGCTATATGTCTGTCCATGGTGTGGGGGACTTGGTTAAAATTGACGGGAGATTTACACCGCAGAAGTATTTGGACATTTTGGAGAATTTTTTCTTGTCCTCTCTGCAGGAAACAAATTTCTCCTTCCCCCCTGGACCTATTGTTTTTGTTCATGACCGGTGCCCCATATACACGGCTAGAGTTGTCCAACAGTGGTTTGCTGACCGTGAGAATTTGCAGCTGCTGCATTGGCTTAGTCGGGGGCTGACATGAACCCTTTGGAAAATTTACGGGCGAATATTGAAAACACTTGGGAGCCTGCGAGGGAAAGAACGTCTGCAGAGTTGTCCGCCCACACCAAGGCAGAATGGGAGGTATTTTGGGCCAAACATGATTTCCTCCGCAACCTTGTTAGATCAATGCCCGAAAGACTTAATGATGTTATCAACAAAGAAGGTGGGTATACAGGATACTAAAATGAAGAATTTATGTCAGTGAAAACAAGAAGTTCCAAAAGTTCAGTGTTTAATGTCGACAAACCAAGACAAGTCTGCTGGCACGGTGTTCCTCTGTCGATGATTTCTGATGTCCAAGTCCAACCTCATATCGTCACTTATTAGGACAGCCTTTGTGAAAGCAAAAATCTACCGTAGCCACCTCTCATGAGCTTCGCCTTCACTAGGTCGTCTCTCATACTTCTGAGTGAAAAAATGTAATAAAATTTTGTAAACTTTATTTTCTCTTCAATAATAAGTGGCTTTTATTTTCCGTTACGATAACAATCACTACTTGTTTCATTTCATGTAATAATACAGCTTCCCATACTTCTTTTTATTGCAATATTCCTATCCTCAAAAAATAAGTTTATTATAAGAATAGGTATTATAACTAAGTATTTGTTGGACATCAACCATTAACTGGCACCTGGTCTCCCATGCTATTCTTACTAAGAATTGGTGCGATAAGGTTAAGATCAAGTGTTTCTCTGGCCTCCAACTTTAGATTAAAAATTACCATTTACAGTGCAAAAAATAAAACCGTGTAATACTACTGGAAAAAATGTATTCCTAAATTAAATAATCCCGTCTACTTCCATTACTTTGTAATGCATAAAATAAAATATGATTATATTATGCAACACGCAACTCAAGTACTCCCCCGTCTTTCCCCCTCCCACCCCCACACACACACACACACTGTTACCAGATCATCAGCTGATTCTACGTCTCTGGTCATCTGGCTGGGTGTTCAACGTGGAAGAGTCTGCAACTCATGCTAAACCAATTGTAAACTTGTATGACGATTTTACTAAATAAATATCTATCTATCCAACACAGAACTTCTTACTAAACATCATGGGGAAATATCCCAGAAGCACGAGGCTGAGCCAGACAGCAACAATAGTAGACCGGAAGCTCCAAAACACAAAGCGGTACGGTGGGTCAGCTGAGTGAGGGCTCGTTGGTGCTGCTCTCTCACGCGCCTCTTTGTCTGTTTCAGCTTGGATCAGTGATGATGGACCTGGTAGAACCATAAGATCTTGATTTAATTCACATCTAGTACCTCACAGAAGGAATTGATTAACTTAATAAGGAAGATTTTCTTACAGCATATGTTATAACAATAGGAACAGGTTTTTTTTTTTTATGGGGATTAGCCCACCTGGGCACAGGTCACTGACCCACATCAGGGCCTGGGGAGCAAAAATGTAATAATGATTATTCATAGTAAACAAAATCTATGATAAATAATACAAAATTGAAAATAAACTGGTAAAATAATAATGATGATAATTATAATAATAATAATAAAAACACTGTAGTAGTAGTAATAATAATAATAATAATAATAATACAGTTATAATAAAGAACCATAAAAAAATACAAAAATGAAAAAAAGATCAAGAGTGAGAAACAATACAGTATATGTATGTTGTGTTGTCAAAGTAAGAGAAACAATTGAGACCCTGCAATTGTGTGTAAATGAGGCAGAAAGTCAGATCAGCAACCTGGGACTTGGTCACAATTTTCGTGATGCCATATGGCAGCAGGGTCTACCATTAGACAACACATTATGCTTCCAATATCTTCCCAGGCAGTAGTACCTCCCAGTTTGGTAGCTGCCTACTGCCTACCACTCAATGCACCACGTGTTTAGTGGTGTTTGCAGAAGTAAACATTGAAACTGTGGCCACTCACTGTCAGCCAGGGACTCTCCAGGATCAATAGTGGCTCTCCTCCTGCTGTAGGGGAAGACACCCAGCAGTGCTCCCAGCCAGGCAACAGGTGCCAACAGAGTGGTGATGTTTCTCCCCAGATGCTGGCATGAATCTCCGACACCAAACACAACCATCTGAAATGCCACGATAGTATAATTCTTGTGATTACCAACCCAATCTAATCCCAGCTCCTCTGTTAACTAACACTGGTTTATCTTACCTAAGATTACTTTACTTACCTAACCTTAATTAACCTTACCTAATCTTACTTAACATTATCTAACTTGACTTAACTTTACCTAACAACCTTACCTGACCCAACATATCTTAACCTGATTCAACATTACTTCACCTAAATGAACTTAGGCCAATTAATTCTTACTTTTACTAACATATCATAGCTTACACCTCGCTATTCTAACATAACTTGACCTTACTTTGCCTATCTTAAACCTAACCTAACTACATGGACTGGTACTGTCATGATACAGTATACTGTACTACTTCTGGCATGTACTGTTAGTACCATATTTCAGCATCAGTTATACACAACCTAATGCATTGTCATGATCTCATGATCCAAGTGTTTCATGTTATTAAACAATTTTGTACAGTATTACCCATTAAGTCACATTTTGTTTTCCTTGTCAATTTATTTTAATGTACACTGGACTGTAGTTACATCAATAGTCACTTACTGTTGGCGAGTCACTAGTTAGTGCATGATGACCACAGTCATACATGTTACTTAACATAAAATCAGATGATTCATATTACGCTCAACAGCCATAACACATGTAGCTATAACTTAATTCTTGAGTCCCCCTCTACTAAGACGTCCAGTTTCTGTCCACTTCAGTAGACCAAGACTTCCATTTTCTCTCATGTGTTTCAGATCTCTCGTACAGTGAACCCTTGAAGATCCAGACTAAAAGGGGGGACCACCTGTCCGGAAAAGCTGAGTGTCCAAATCTTTCAGCGAATGTACTAAATGTACAAAATCGATATAATGATATAAAAAACACCCAAAAATACAGTACATATTATCCTGACTACTGGGGTTGGTTATACAGATTTTTTCCTGTGAAATAGCCATAATTTTGAGCAACATATTACTGTACTCACTTTGTACTCAAATGTACTACACTTTAGGACAATTTTTTTTATCTCTTATGCAAACTACAGTAATCCTGTGTTTTTTGCGGGAATTACGTTCCTGAAACCCCCGTGAAAAGCCCAAACCGCGAATACTCTTTAAAGAATCACTGTACCTGTGACCACCAAACAGCTCAGGTAGGTCATGCACTTAACCACACCATGCTCTCCACTCACGGCCCATTGGTCACACTGATCACTGGTGCACTGTAATGGCATTTGCTAACATCATTATTTGAAACTAATCATATTGTAGTGTAATACTAGAAAAACGTAAACACAGTTATATACAAAAAAATTTTATTTACAAGAAAATAAAAAAAATTATATTTCGCTGAGGTCGGCAACACCCGCATTGCCAGCCTCTCCCTGCTGTCCCGGCGCCTGCCCGCCCTCACGCAGTCACGCCAGCCAGCCAGTCCTCTTCCACCCACATTCCTCCACTTGAAGACTTGTATTCTGACAAAAGACACAAATGAATTGTCAGTCTTCACCACATCTCGAGCCATAGCTCATACCACCTCTGAGCTTGTCCAATAAAACTGTTTTTTCGGTAGGCACGTGTGGACTGAGGCTTCTCGGAGCAGCAGGTGTCTGAGGTGGGAAAGGGTGGCGTCTGTTTGCCGCACCGCACAGGGGAATATCGAAAATGGCACGAAATTAAAAAAAAAAAATTTAAAGGATATTTTATATATACAGGTGTATAATTTTTTCGTAAAAAAAAACGTGAATGGTCAGAACCGCGATAAAAACCCCTCAAAAAACACGGGATTACCGTATGTGATGTCTCCATTCAAATTATTTGCTACCCTGCAAGGATTCCAGCAATGCAAGTTATATTCTGTGACATTTTATAAGACAAAAACTTTAAGCCTAAAACCACCTTCAACCCTTGGAAGAGGGAAGTGAGGTGTTGACAGCCAAGAGGAGGGGAGGAGGGGGGGATGAGGTTGAGGTGAAGTATTGACCACCCGGCAGGGAGATTACCCAGTGTGTAGTTATCAGTCATATACTGTAGAGGGAGTTTAAGTTTTTTGCTTATAAAATGTCACTGAATTGACTTGGCAGAATATAACTTACATTGCTGGAGTTCTTGTAAAACAGTGATTAATTTGAATATAAACATGCTATAGTTTGCACTAGACATAAAACTAAAGTAGAGTAGTACAGGTTTGCCCTTTGGACAATTATTTCTTTTACTTTTTTCACAATATTTATTTAGTATGGTGTGTGCATGTAAATGAGTAAAAATAAATTAAGAAAGTTATGTATATTTACCCATAAATACGAGTCAAAAAACTTGTACAGGATACTTAAATGTATTACACTAAAGGACTAAAATTTTATCTCTTGTGCAAAATATATGATGAGTACATTCAAATTGTAAGCGCCTTCCGGGCGTTTAAAGGTTAATCAGACTCTTCACGTTAAACTTGAACGTTATAATTCGGTCAAACCTGTTGAATACAATTCATTTTAGTATTTCAAATAAATTATACATAGGCAATCATACATAAATGTTTAAACCAATAGTGGGGTATGCTATAACGAACGGATTCTACTACGAATATTCCTATAATAAACGGTTTTACCTATAAAATTGAGAATGCTACAACGAACGAAATTCCTACAACGAACAGTAATTTTTTATTTTTTATTTTTTTACTAATTTAGTTTTTTATTACAAATATTAATGATACTCTTTATTTCAGGGGTTTAGATGCATATTTATGCACTTTTTTACAATTTTTACAATTTCATATTATATTTTTCAGTGTTAAGTGGTTGTATTTGGTAGCCTGGAACGGATTAACCCTATAACGAACGAATGCTATAACGAACAAGGTTCTAGAACCAATTAGATTCGTTATAGCATACCCCACTGTATATATTTACATAACAATCATAGCTATGTAATTAGTCTAATCTTAACACTTACAATGAGTACTTAATTTGCCATATTTTTATGTTGTCACAATGATAAACGATGCAATGGACACAGTCTACCTGTGTACACAATAAGTACAAGTTAAACTTATGTGTTGAAAGTCTCAGGAGAAACAGGTTAGGTGTTGGCTCTATGATGGGGATAGCTACAGTGGCAGACTGGCGGTGCCCTGCCGGGCGTCACATGTCCAGCCCGGCTGGCCAGACTTGCTGCGTCAGGCGTGTTATACGCAAACAAGCTCCCCTTACACCACACAACACCTCAACCTACTCTGGGTCTCTCCATCTCCACCATCTCAATACTCTGTATCCTGTATACTCATTATAGGTACTGCTTGAGTTAACACAAATTATTCGCTGTCTTGCAAGGATTCCAGCAATGCAAATTACATTATGCTAAATTTAGTCTGTGACATTTTACAAGATCAAAATTTTAAGCCTAAAACTATCTTCACCCTGTTTTGGAAATGCTTCTTAGGAAGGCTTCTTAGTCCAGAGCCCCAAATTCTTTGCCTGTATTTTCCGAAAACCAGATTTGTCGGGTCCAGATCTTCGTGTATTCAATTTTACGAATGAATGTGTATGTGTTACTGTAAGTTAGATATACCTGCATACAGCTGAAACATTCAAGATCCATTAAGAGTGATGTTGAAAGCTTCAACTGTATTTACTTTTAGTAAAATTGTCAAGTAAGTCGAGTGTTTTCCAAGGTGTAAAAATCCTATTCCCGCCCTGTGAGACATACAAGAGTTCCATTCACCACTTAAGTTAGATTGTTTTAATTAACAATCATCAGAGAATCTGATGACTGTCTTAAAATTATTGTTATTTTTGTATTTAAGAAACTTATTTCTCTTGAGAGCAGAACCTGTCAACTGTAGAAAACTTTGAAGTGTAACCTATACTCTTGGGAAGAACAGATGTTGTGGTCAGAGGCTCTGCCCACAATGTGATTGCCAGCCTGTGCACTTGATATTAATTTAATTCTTGCACTGCAAAGCTCGAACTCTGATTTGATTACAAAAGTTTAATCATCGAAAATTACTGTATAATAAGCGCATAGCTTAATTTTCACAGCCTGAGGTGTACTGTAACTGAGAACAATGAATAAAGTATCTGGGGTAACTCAGGGTGCATAAAAAGAGGCACATAGTTTGAAAAGTTTTTTCTGACTGCTGCTCTCCCACGTAACAGGTATGTACAGTCAGTCAAAGATCCATCGACCCCATCCTGGTTTTCGTACTCGCAATTTTACCCGGCAATACTTAGTGAAGGGAGGCTGTATGTAATGGGGATTGTGATTTCCGGCTGTATCACTGTCAAGATAAATATTAAACAAACCAAAGGTTGCATTTGATAATAATAAACTATTCATCCTTATTTAAGACCATGAAAAGTTTCCATATGTTCGTATATTTGCTTAAATAATGAAAAAATTATATTAATGAATTGGCAACGCAACTACATCCAAGACCGCCACAAGATTTTCACATCAAATTTCAAGAATAAATGTTCCACATTTATTCTTGAGTGTTTCATGGAGGTATTAATTGCCTTTACAATGTGAGCTTTACATAATATAATTTGATGGAATGACACCCTGTAATAGACTCACTTGTCAGTTGCAACATAGTATCCTCCTATATTCTAGTTACTAGTCTGTGCAATAATAATAATAATAATATTATTAATAATAATAATAATAATAATAATAATAATAATAATAATTAATGGTTTATTGGAAGAACATGGCAGTCGGAAGGCTGAAAATATACAGTTACATAATTGGGGAATGGGCCTCTTGATTGACAAATAATATACAGTATAATCTGCATTTACGCGGTCAATTGAACACGTGGAGGCCCGCATAAAACGAGAAATGCGTAAATGAAATAACAGAACATATGGGATTAATTGAAATAGAGACTGGGCCGACCCCCAAACTCCACTTTTTCCGACACAATACGTACGTTGTAGTAAAAATAACATCTTAATTTTATGATGGTATGTACACACAATTAATATTTAAGAG